CATTAATACTGCACTATACGATAGAATTCAGTATAGCTACAGCTCTAAGATAGAAGCTATTCTCCAGCCTATTCGTCCTTGTTTTGACATGAGTGACTATGAGCAGAGCCTCCTGATCCAAGAATGGGCACACCTAGCACACTAGATGTATCTGTGCAAAAGCCCTCCTAGCCACGGCAGCCACCAGCTGCTTTACTCTTCTTATTTTTAATTTGATGTTGGAACCATTAGCCTTCCTTATTAGGCAAAGAGAAGACATTTTGGGTATAAAAGTGGCTGTAATTGGACACACATCGTTATTATATGCCGGCTATTATGCCTTATTGAAAACTACGTATTTTTCTATACCAAAATGTATTAATAGTTTACAAAAGTTCGGCACTTACTAGGTCGCTCAGTTAATTAGTGTCTCGTGTACTTTTGAAAGGCTATAATGTTTCTACAGGAAAATAATTAATTAATTAATTTTAACAAATTTATATGGCCGCCCAACTCACACGCTGTGACTCTGGACGGCTTACAAAATTAAAATACACAATACAAAAAGCCCATCAACCTCCCCCCCCCCGGTGGCGGCTACAAACACAATCAAATCAACTCCTTGATCAGCTCTGTATCAACCTGGGGTCCCCAGACCTGTGGTCTCCAGGGCCTTCCAGAAAAGTATCAAGGTGGGGTCCAGTCTTATCTCTGGGGGAATGATATTCCATAGGGAGGGAGCCACCACATAGAAGGCCCTTTTTCATGGTCCCATTAGATGTACTTCCCTCATGGATGGGACCCGCAGCGTACCATGACTCCTTGCTCTGTGGGCCGAGTAGATGTAACTGGGGAAAGGCAGTCCTTTAAATAACTCAAATTGTAATGATTGGAGTGTCAATTGTCACTGGAATTATTGTAAGTATTTTGGAATAATTGTTCCTTGTGGATATAAATATATTTCTTATCTCAAATAAAAATAGTCACTAGTAGTTGGTTTTATCCCTCATCCTGCATGGTCCTTTAAGCAAGTTTTGTGGTTGGTTTTATCTGAAACAGCTGCCATTTGGACCTCCTGGAAATCAGAAGTGGTACCTAAGTTCCAGTTTTTAGCAAACCAAAATGATAAGTGTTTCCTATTTAGATAAGAAAGTAACCTACAAGACTTGTTTAAAGAGCAGCATGTAATGGCAGCTGAGGCGAGCACTAAAATATTTTGCCAGCATTGATGGAGCTTCTTAATTTAGTTGTATAATCATGCCCCCCCCCCAAGTCCTGCTGTGCTGCCTCACCGGGGTGGTGGTGGGGTGTCTCAGAGGGATGAGCGAAGAATGCTGGAAGTGTATGCCAACATATACATATTCCCAGAAGGGTCACTCAAGATGTGAAGGTCATCCCAGCTGTCCAGGTAAAGCAAGAGACACCTATATTGGGCCGTAGCCATGTAGGAAGATGCCAGAGGTAAATAATCACTTTAATGACAATGACAAAGGCATCCATTCATACTGCATGAGGGAATGCAATGGTAAACCACTCCTATATTTTTACCAAGAAAACCACACGGATAGAAATTATAAAACGACTGACGATCATGGAGAACATCTATCTATTTAATTGCCGAGAGTTGGCAATGACTTAATGGCACATAATGAATCAATCATTCAATGATCACGCCATCAAACTTCTCTGGGAGAAGGAAGAGGGAAAGTGAAGCCATCCGCGCCCCCCTTACCTCAGGTCTGCCAATGCTCCTGCGCACCCGAGCTCCCAGTCCTTCCACCTGCTCCTTACTGAGGACAGTTCTTACAACTTTTCTTTCTCCAGCCATTCTTCTTTAGAAAAAGTGAGCCAACTCCTAAAAGATTTCAACCAGCAGCCAAAATGAACAGGCAAGTTTTAAACAGCATCCATCACAATCGAAACACATTTTCAAAACACAGGTAAATACAGGCACGGAGCAACAACTGCACGCTCCTTCAAGCGGAAAACCCACGTGGCCACATTTTAAGGGAATAAAAGGCTGCATTTAAAAAAAAAAAACATGAGCCGCTTGTTTTACTTTTCCTAGGCAAGCATGCCACTTACTTTATATTTATTTAAGCCTACCCGTAAAAAAGTGGAAAATATCCAAAGGGTTTAGGCGTTCTCCGTCTTCTGTAGCATCACAGCGTCTCTCTTTTATGGAATAAAACCTCTTAAGAAAATCCAAGCAAAGACTTATTACTTGTTGGGCTGGTTTACCAAAAAAAAAAAAAAGGAAGAACGAAAGAAAGAAAGAAACCCGACTCAGAATGACGGAGCAAAATCTTGCCGGCTTTTTCCTAAGTTGCCATTGAACCCATAGGAGGCTTGCAAAAGCCAATGCAAATACACGGGTGAGCAATATGCGCTAAAGGTGACTGCAATCAGCTGTAATAACTGAACACGCCTGTCTTGTGCAAACGTTTTGCGTTCGTGGCCTTTATTTCAGGGAAGAACGCACTGCACTGCACGCTTTGAAAAGGCGATTTAGTACGTTCGGTGACATCTGCTCCATTCAGGTCTCCCGCACAAGCCAGAAGGGGGCTCTCACGCTCCAGCAGTGGGAAGATGACAGAGATCAACACCAGGAAAAAGAAGATTATTATAGGAAATCTGCGCGGCCCTTCGAAGCCGGCTTCCTGAAACCCCGCCCCCCGGGAAATGAGGTCATAAGAAGCCTTTCCATGGAGGCCCGCGGAGCGGGTGGGGGGATCTGATGCGGAGCTGTACGCGCCAGAATCCAGGTAAAAGAGGCTGAGGTGGGATGGGGGCGTCGCCTCCTTTAAAATTAGGAAAGAAGAGGCTTGGGGCTCTTGCTGTCTTTCATCTCTTCTTGTGCCTGTGGGAAACGTTTCATTCTGTCTCTTTTCCGCAGCTGGGCTGTGGCAGGAGGATACATGCATGGAGGAATCACCTTACTGTGCCGCTTTTAAGGCTGCGTGCGACCGTCGCAAGATGCGCAAATGAGTTCTTAAGGAAGAATAGCTAAATCAAGTATAACGAGAGAATGTAATGGCAGAAGCGGGCGTGTGGATCCGAGAAGAAAAGTCTACATTTGGGCAAAACATGTCCTCGGACCACGAAAATATCGGGGGGAAAAATACTTATGAGTCACTGCTCCATAGGACTAAATAATATTTTTATTCTTGGACTTGGAATTTTAGTTCAAATTAAATCTTTCAGCCAATGGAGGAAAAGCTACTTTAGACGAATCTCCACTGGTCACACAGTCTTTTCAAGAGAAACTACGGTAGTCAGAAGCAATCATGCAAGCTAATTTTAAAGTTGTGTTATTTATGTATTCACACACAAAAATCAGAAAAGCTGGCTTCATTGAGCTTATGTAGAAACTATAATCTTTGGTCCGTTTGTCTCCAAATAGGTTTCACAGGAAATCCCATGATTAGGATTTCCTTCTGGAAAACATTTTCTTCTAGAGTTCCTCAGTTTCCTCTATGGAAGAGCATCTAGAGCAGTCTAATTTATACATCAGTTTATTTTATTTATACCCTACTTTTCTATTTTGGCCAGATATCTGAGAGAAGCAGAGAGAGCCAGTGGTTAAAGCACCAGGCTAGAAAGCAGGAGACAGTGAGTTCTAGTCCCGTCTTAGACGTGAAAGCCGGCTGGGTGACTTTGGGCCAGTCCCTCTCAGCCCATGATGTCAGGCTCAGGCGACAAGCCAGTAGGCAAATTCCTGTTGCAACATTTGGTTGATCCAAAATTTAAAAAAAAGGGGGGTGGGGACCCTGTACCTGTGGGAAAAATGCTAGGAAGAAAAAAAAAATCTGGGAAAAGCAAAGACTAACAGAAGTGGCAACAAGTAGCCAGGAATGCACTTAACATTTTAGGGGGGTGGTTACAGATGAATAGGGAGAGAATAGTAGAAAGTGTTGGATTACAGCACCACACCTGGGTTCTGGACCATGTCCTTTTTCCATTGGGGGGTGGAGCTGCTCTGTTTTTGCTAAACTATATACAAATACAAATACATATTAAGCTTACTTTAGGGCATACACCATAGTTATGTGTTTTTTCCATGTCATAATTGTGGGAAATCTTGTGGTTAATTTTTGTCAATTTCCTCCACCAAAAGTGAGTGACATGGACAAGAGGGAGTTAAGAAATGTAAAGGAGGAGTTTTGAGGACATGTCTTCTCAGGACATCCATGGTGTTCAGTGGGACTTAATTCTACATTGAATAATTTTAAAATTATAAACTGATGAATATTGATTTTTTTAAAGGAAAATATTTCTTATTGTACAATGGGTTGAACCAACATAGAAAGCTATAGTTATGGGGGGAGGGGGAGACCTAGGTGATGGGTGAATTTGGCCTAGTGGTTAAGGCTCCAGGCTAGAAACCAGGAGACTGTGAGTTCCAGTCCCACCTTAGGCATGAAAGCTGTCTGGGTAACTTTGAGCTGGTCACTCTCTCCCAGCTCAACTCACCTCACAGGGTGGTTGTTGTGGGGAAAATAGGAGAAGGAAGGAGTATTAGGTATGTTTGCAGCCTTGAATTATTTATAAACATAATAAAGGTGGGGTAAAAAAAAATCTAAACAAAACCCCTGATCTTAAACTCATAAGGTTTTAACTATTGTACTACTTGTATCTTTTTCATTTTATTGCCTTTATGTTTTAAGATATTGTATACATCATGCTAAATTTACAAGGATAGTCCTTACCTTTAAATGCTCCTAAGAATGAGGGATTATTTGGGAAGGTTTCATATTGCACTTTTTCATGTTTTCAAGGACATTGGTGTTGTTTCCTTGTTGGAAGCCAGAAAGACAGGGTGGAGGGAGAGAGGTTTGGAAGATCAAAACCACTAAGCAAGATTTCTTGACAACAATCAAGTTCCCATAGCAGCCATACTTATTCAAGACGGAGTCCTAGCAGGCAAGGCTCTGCTGATTATATCTGAGTGGATGCTGTTCTTTTCCCTTCACATAGAAAAGTCATCCTTCAGGAGTTAGACACAGTTAAAGGCCCACTTAGGGTAGCCACAGTCACTCTCAGAACAATTACAACTTTGCCTCATATAAAGCACCAAAAGCCACTCTTTAGAGATGCTCTTGAGAATGCTAGTTTACCAGTTTATAAAAAGAGAAGGCAGCACGCTGTGCCCGGCCTTGGTACTCATTCGAATGATGACTCACAAACAAATTCAGTGCATTCATTATATGCAAATATGTCATAGTATGATGACCACACTAAGCTGAATTCCCCGATTCATATTCCCCTTTTGTGGATGATAATAGACCTTCTTTGGCAACTTCAAGGGAGTTTTTCACTACCTGCTCCAATTTATCTGAAAATGTTACCATCAGTGTGACAGTTTATGATGAGTATACTTTGCATCAAATCAAGTTAAACTTACCTGTTGCACCATATACTGATATAACTGAGTGGTCTGATACCGACAGGGTCTGAAATTGACATACAGCCCACCCAAAATAGATCCTTACAGATTCAACTGTCTATTGATACTTTTATCCATCTGTCAGCTTCCAATGATGACCTGTATTAGCTTTGTTGTACACCGCCCAGAGTCGCCTATGGTGAGATGGGTGGCTATATAAAATGATTTAATAAATGAAATAAAAAATTATTTGCCAATTTAGCCTCACTAAACCATCCACCATCTGCAGAGAAGTGAGTCCTCTGACATTAAATCCAAAGAACTCTGTGATCCTACTGTCATAGAGTATTGCAGGGTGACACATAAGATTTAAGGACCTGGATTCATGTATTATGGATTTTTTTTTTTTTATTTCAACAGGTGACTTTTGTCTAAATGGCTACAATTGCCTATCACTTCCTGCACTGCAAGGGACTGGGCAGGATAGATCACTGGGAGCCTTAATATACATTGGTCAGCTACTTTAAAAGCTAAAGATAGCTTACTAAAGTCCCTGAGTCATTATGCCCAGGATGCTTTGTTTCAATTTACTAAGACTTCTCTGTTCTTAATTAGTGTATACTAATTTACCCCAATTTACTCATGTGTATAGGTAAGGGAACTATGACCTAGAACTCTCTTTAAACAATCTTTTGAAGTTTCCCCCTCTGCTTTGGAGGTAATTTTAGATGACTTCAATGCCAGAATGAGGGCGAATGACAATCTCCTATATTCTATACAAACTAAGTAACCCAGATTATGAAATAGCCCTTGTTTACTCCCAAGCAAATCCAAAGATGAGAGAGAGGACTTAATAGGCTTGACCTTTTCCTTCTGAATGGGGCAATAAGTACTGCAGCAATTATCCTGCACAATTTTCCCATTCAACATAAGCTAGATTCTCTCTCCTATATTATACCATCATTTCTAGGGGCCTCAGCTCCTTTCTACTTAATTGTCAAATTCCAAAATTACTATGAGAGCATCCACTTTCCCAATATTTTAAACTTGAAAGCTTTTTAAACCCTTTAATTAGAACCTGGTATGATTCCTAGTAATGAATCCAAGTTAATCTCAGCCCATGAAAAGTGTTCTTCTCAGTGAAAAGAGGAAATGTTATAGCTCAGAACCACTATTTTAAAATGTGAGAACAAAGCTGGCATACTCATTTTCTACAACCATTTGATTCAGCTTTTACAAAAATAATCTTATAAGTAAAGGCAACTGCTTCCTAATTCACCAACTATGGCTCAACCAAAGAAGCTAGAAGGCCAGAACAGACTTGATTACTTGTTTTAATAGAGAGATGATCCTTCACACATCATTCAAGATTTACTTATCATGAAGATGTGATACAAAAGTACAATGTAGAGGATTAACTCAATAAAAGAAAAAACAAACACTCAGGGAAATCTGGCTACAACTGACTGATGCAGCACATGAGAAAAAAACCAGCCATATTCTGGCATTATATCATCCCTCAGCTTTGTGCCTGCTCTTCTTGATCCCCTTATTAAACACAGCTGTTGTGAGGATCATGTTTGAACTCTGTAAATGGTTGATGAGACACCTGCCTTTGAAATAGAGCTCAGTAAGGCTGAAGGCCCACTCCTTCAGTGGCCTCAAGTGACAAATAATGAAAATGGTAGACCTAATTAAGTAGGTTAATCCTGGTAAAGGACCAGGTGTGGACTTTTTCACAGCCAAGGTTTTATGTTCCAACATGGATAGGTGAGTCCTGGTTTGTTCTTTGTTTACATTTATTATTCCTAAAGATAACAGCTTTGCTTTAATGGTGCCCATTTATATAATAAAATGGGCACCAGAATCTTCCAGCCAATTACTGACTCATCAGCTGCCTCAGCATCATTAGCAAGATGTATGCTAAGACCTTAGGGTTAAGCTCTTCAATTTGATCTGGAGAATATACTGGCTGGGGAACAAATTGGATTTAGAACTGGCTGCTACATCTTCAATCATCCTTAATTCTACAACATCTGGCTAAAAAGTACACCTCCACACCATGGGCTCTGATCAATGAAAACTTTATGAACTTCAGAGCAGCCTTTGACCTAATTTGCAGGCCTAATCTGTGATGCAAATTACAAAACTCCTCTACAGACAGAAGGCTGCTCCTGCTTATCTGTAGACCTTTATGATAAAAACACCATAAAAGTTAGATGTGGCTAAAGGCCACTATACCAATGAGATCCCTGTTAATAGGGGAGTCCAACATGGCTGCAATTTTGCCCCATTTAATTATTACATGACTGCATTAGTTGCTATGATGAATGATCTTTCCCATCCCTCCACCGCCCCCCCCCCAAATTAGCAGAAAAACATATACAGATAATGCAGTTTTTAATGCAGTTTCCAAAGACTGTAACTGGTCTAATGATCTCTGCGAGCATTGGCTGATCACTGTGTCTCCGAAGCTTTGGAAATTAACTACAATAAGACCAGCATGGTGGTTTTTGCAAAATGCCCTAAATGGCATATTTGGACATTAAACAATCATCCTATTGAACAGATTCAATCATTTAAATACCCAAATATAGTTTATCATGCCCCAACCTCATGCAGAATGCATAGAGAATATGTAATACAAAACATCCAGAGAACTGTAACAGCACTACAATCATTTTTCTACATCAAGGGGTCGTTTTTGTCCCTGCTGTACTTTGAATGTCCTCTGCTAAAGACAGAGCACAACTGCTATTCAGCGTCCCAATAGGTCCATATAGTTACTTTGCTCTTTCTGAAAGAGTCCAGACCAAAACTTTCAGGAACATATTCCAAGACCCTCAAATGTAATTGTTTGCCACGAAGCTGATAATAGTAAGATTAAGACCAATACTTGGTAACACATTTTTATATACTGGGCCAAAATATACTTCCTTCTGTAGGCCTGACCCCTCAGACTCTTATTGACAATTTTGTTTCATCCTGATCCAAAGCAATACTATAGGTTAAAAAAAAAAAAGGAGTTCTTTGTTTTTCCTTAACCCGCCTCTGCCCACTCGGGCACAGTGTGCAATTGCAGTTTTGCGGCAACGTTTAAGGATATGGATACAATTGGCATCTCTTCCCAAAAGTATACTCCTAAGTAGCTCTTTCAGCCTCCTTAGACCTGCCAGATACCTTGGTCAAATCAAAATCCCTAAACAGAGGTGGGCATTCTGCCTACCTTGGGGTAATGTCCTTCCTGCAGTGAACTTAGCAGAGAGCAACAAAGGCTAAGGTTTTGCCCATGTGACGAAGGGACTGACGCAACCATTAAATGCACTTTGATTATATTGCTCGTTTTCAGCTGGCACACATTCAGAGTTGGTAACTCCACATTTAATAAATGTCCTGGTCATTATGACAAGTTTCATTTACAGTTTTTACTTTCAAATATACTCTGTCCCTGTAAATGCAGCTAAATTCTGTTACGTCGTATGAAAAATGGGTAGTTGATTCATTAATACGCCCAGTTAATTTCATGTTTTACACTTATCCATAGACGTGTAACCTGTTTTACAGTATTGAGTTTTATTATGTACTGGTCTTTGACCACAATAAACATTTCTTCTGCTTTCTATATCTGGGACTTCATGAGTAGCAGGCAAATAACTTCTGGTAGACACTCCTATATTTGTAAAATATGTAAAAGAAGGGAACAGGAAAAGGATATTCTTTTTGAATCTCTCTGCTGTAAGAGAAGCATGTTTTCATCACTCAGGTAAACTGCTTTTCTTAAAATGAATTGAACAAGTTAATATATGTGCACTGCGTTCTTATTTACTTTTATGTTTCAGTATAATTTTGTAAAAATTATATGCCAAATAAACAAATTACTTCCAAAATTTCTAAATTTATGAAGTTGTATATTATGTTTTTCAAAAAAACACTTTTGATTTTATCATCGTGAATTAAGTCAAAGAAATCAAAGAAATACATAAATAGTTTAATTTTTTGTTTTTTAAGAAGTACTTACATTTGGTGTTTCTTGAGTTGTATTCTAAAGCAGACAGATTTCACTTGAACCAATTAACTGTTTACAAATATTATATTTCAGATGAAAGTGCTTCTCATATTTATATCTTGCCATTTTTTTAATAAAGTAGAGTTATATAGATATAGAAAAAAGAACAAATGTGTTACCATTTTTCCAAGATCAGCAGATTTATAATTGTATAAACTTTTGTGGATCATGTGCAGTTAATAGATGGATGCAGAGGTATGTTAGAGTTCAAAATTAAATATAAGTTTGTTTAATAGCAAATAACAACATCTTTACTTTCTGGCCACTAATAACAATACTTATTGCTTTTTAGGAGCTATGAAATGGGAAACATGGAAAATGCTTCCATTTTAGAAGAGCTACTGATAAAGAAGTCTCAGCGGAAGATAAAAATCTCCCCAGATAATTACAAAAAACGATTGTTTGTTCTGACAAAAGCAAGTCTCTCCTATTATGAATATGGCAAAGAAGTGAGCAATTAATGTCTTATCTTACATTATAATAAGTTAAAGAACCTCTTTAATTCCTCTCCAGATGGGTTTAGGGGACTAGGGTTAAGTGTGCTTGAAGTAGGACAAAAAGATGTGTGCTCAATTGAAGTAGCAGACAGTAGTTGGCGAAATGTGTGAAAGTATCTCTGCTTGGGAGTAAAACTATATATGGTTATAATAAAATAAAAAACAAATTGATTGCCCATTCATGACACTGAAATCTGATGCCTGAAGTATCTGCCTTATTTGGTTTAGTGATACTATCCTTGTCCCTGGCATCTACTGTAGGTATTACAGAAATTAACCCTATGTGTGGATCTGTCTTGTCTTTATTGATTGAAAATTGAATGATTCTTTTACCCCATTCATGCCTTATATTATTACTATTATTTTGCCTGTTTATTTTGGATGTTTATTTTTTAAATTATGTTACTTTTTTGGCTGTAATCTTTTGTATGCTGCTTAGAGTTACTGTTGTGACATGGATGGTTATATACCTTATTTAAATAAATGAATAAACCCCAGTCCCTTTCTTTTTTGGAAATTTTGATTTAAATGCTTGGATGCCTAAGATTTCTGTAAGTTGAGTGATCACTTTGGGTACCTTAAGGTACTGGACATTCAAAACTAGAATATGTTTTTTTATCAAATACAAAATGTGTGACCATATATGATTCAGATCACATCCACTGAATCCTTCGAAAACAAGGAAATCATGCTCAGTAGCTTCTTTCTCTGGCCTGAAAAGAAAACAACAGAGTCCTTTATTCTCATATCCTGCTAAACAAACCATAGACTGACCTATCTAGTTCATTTTTTGTAGCCTATTGTAGGAGCCATTGGGCACAATCTGAGTAACATTCACCCACAAATTGCTTATCTACTTCTAAACTGTTTTATGGCTTATTATATTCTTTAAGTACAGTCACTGGCTGGCTTCACCACATTGTACCTAAACTGTAATATATTTTGTCGGTTTTCATTTAGCATGATGTATGAACCAAGCCTTTATCTCCTAAGATTTGAGAGAGGGACAGTTGATAGTTGTAGCTGTATTTTGGTGACCTAAGAAAGGAGCTAATGTCTAGCAAATCTGTGTTAACATGTTTGCAGTATAGTGGTGGGTAGGGAATTGCTCATTTTTCTTGCTCTCAAGAATCAGTGGTAGAGAGCATTTTGTTTCTAGATAGTCTGTTGTATAAAGGAATAAAATAGAAAATATCCAGTGGATGTCATTAGAATTCTGATGGGGAATAGAAACCTCTTAAATGCTGTGGATCTTAAGTTCCAACTATAAATTGGTACAAATAAACATATCAAAGAAACACATCCTCCAGTGATCTTCCAGTAAAACTGAATCTGAATAATCATTATCATTTCTTAAATTCTTGATCAGAAGAAAGGTGCCAATGTGGGATATTATGCTGTGTATATTTATGAAAATTAGTGAATCAATTCCTAATTACTGTTACATTCTTAGAAAAAAGGAGCTAAGAAAGGATCAATTGACATTAAGAAAATTCTATGTGCTGAAGTGGTGAATCTTGAGGAACCATCCCCTCCAGAGACACAATATTCATTCCAGGTAATAGCACTAGTGCAAACAACCAGTGTTTGTTGTAGGAAGGCTGCAGGCAGAATGCTGTAAAATGACTGTAGAGGTACACAAAGGTTTACCTCAGTAAATGAGGTAGGGCAAATATTAGCCTCCAAGTATTGTTGGACCCTAACTCTCATGGTCCCTTTGGCAATATGACTGGGGCTAATGGGATATGGATATAATAATACTGCCTGATTCTCAGCAACTTTGGGCAGTTTTTTTATAGCCTATTGTGCAAATTATTGTGTTCAGGAAAAGCAGTGAAAATAGATATAGACTAAACTATAATAGCAAATAAATGAAAAAGCTTGTATTTTAAAGTTTACATTTAAACCTACTTTGGAGTAGATTCTGAATTCAGATATAAACCCAACAGTGATTGATTCCCACGTATGCATCCTAGATCTATTTCCTCTGTTCCAAAAAGTGTTTATTTCCATTCTTCCTCCCTCCCTGGATATTAGTTAACAGCAACAATGTTTTGCTCTTTTTTGCTAAAATACAAATATTTTAGTATCTCATATGAACAAATCAATGATTAAAATGTCTTAAATAATACTATGTTTCTTATAATTTGAGACTTATTCAACAAAATATTATGGGAATGTATTACTCTGTGAAGAATTAGGATACGTGTTTATTGGTTTATAAGCTGATTCTGTCAGCTCTTAAAAGGTAAAAGTTATAATATTGTTTCATGAAGTCAAGTTTAATTACAGTATGTATTTAAAATTTTAGGTAGATGAGTTCATACACACACACACACACACACATATATACACACACATTTCCATTTTCTTTTGTTGTTTATTTTTCAGTTTCCATATATGTTTTCTCCCCCCCCCCTTTTCCCCCTATATTATATTCTTTTTTATATATTAAAGATATAAAAGGTATAAAAAAATTGATGGGAATTTCAGATGTCCTTTCTAGCACATATGAAATATCTATGCTTGTTTTATTCAAACCTACAGATAAAATCAACTTCACACCCGAGCACATGGAATAAGTCATACCTTAGCTGTAATTCTTTTGAGCATTTGATAATGTCAGAATTACTGTCTATTATGTTTAGATTGTGTACAGAGGAGGCCTATTGTATGTTTTCTCAGCAAATGAAGAAAGCCGGAGGCAGTGGTTGGAAGCTTTGCATAAAGGTACCAAATATGAAGACTTCAAAACTGATTTTAAGAACTGGACCTAGCTTATTAGCAGAAATAAGCTGGATTTTGGTTGAGCTCATAAAATAAATCTTTGTAGAACTTCTGTACAGAGCAAAATATAGAGAAAGTATATATAAATAAAAAGGAGAGGGCTTTAGGATTTGAGTCAACTGTCATTTTTGTTTTGTTTTGTTTTGGTTAGTTTAGCCACTTTGAAAATATTTTTTGTAGTCCAAACCATATTTAATGAATAATAACTAAAATGGCCTTTAGTACATCTCAATAGTGTATCAATCGTCAAGGATATATTCCTGAAGTTTCAGGGTCTATGGCATGTATATAGGGTTCTCATTCATGTCAATGAAGAGAAGATCGTATTTGCAAAAGGATGTGGGTGTAATATTCATTTTCTATTAAAATAAATGAGAGGAGCCTGCTCCTGTTGGATTCAGTGTCAGCCCTAAAAATCAGATAATCACTCTGCTTCTAGGACTTTTTTTCTGCTAGTTCAGTTAACTGAATTTTTAAAATGTTGTATATTGCTTTGAAATATAATATGATGAAGGAAAGTCAGGCCTTAGGGTAGGGTCAGAAAGTTCTGGAAGAAAGGCATATAGAATGATCCTATGCATGTTTACTCAGAAATAAACTTTATTGTGTCCAATGAGGCTTTTTCCAGGGAAGTAGGGATACGATCAAAATTTAAATTGCTTTTAAAATGGTAGTGAATTGGTCATATGAAAAATACTGCACTGATCTTTTAATCCATATTCTCAGCCCATTTTCTCAGTGTGAATTGGACCTAAATTTTGACCTTGGTTACAGGGCCTAAGTGTATGTTTCTTCAAAGATAGGCTGCTATGGATTGAGGCCTCATTCCTTGATAATTCTTCAGTAAAGATATTATGATTCTATACAGCAAATCTTTTCTCTGTCTTCTTTTTCTTCTGTGCTTTCTAGAGATTAGTGGCAATACAGATTTACTAAAAAAGTATCATAAAGGATTCTTTTCAAACGGGAAGTTCTCATGTTGCAATCAGGCTTGCAAAGCAGCTCCAGGATGCACAATATGGGAAAAATGTAAGGTGCCATTTTATATCCTTTGTGTAGGTGTCAATAGGTTCCAAATGATATGTTGGACTATGACTCCCACCATTCTCAAGCTAATGCTAACCATTTTGTCTAGTTGCTAATGGTAGCTGTAATCTAACATATCTGGAGGACATGACTTCAGAAAAGGATGATATATACCATAATAGTAATCATATTGTTTTTTATTCAGACGTGTGAGGGAGCTTTTGTATTTCCAAAGCAAACTATCTACATGCAAATATTGCACCCAGACCCAGTTCATGCACGCAGGATCACTGTTTTGCTTGCAAATTATTTGTACAGCTAGATGAGGCATAAGAATAAATATCTAACCCTTTGTTGATTCCTTCCCAACATAGCCCAGGACATCTATGGGTGCAAAATTAAGGGTGGTTCAGTCTGTTCATGCAACATGTAAGAATCAGCATCTATAGTTTTCCAAGGGCAGCTAAACAGCTGCTTTTAGCCTAGAACTCAACC